AGGCGTTACTTTTCCCATCATATTATTACTACTCATCTTCTGTATAACACTTTCCATTACTACTAACATGCATTACACAACTAATTTAATCTTAATTTCTATTAACTTTAACTACTACAATCATCTTATTGACAAAGTCCAATTGTGGTAACGGTAAGAATGTATACGACTTAATGGACCGAAACATTTAATTGCCATTATAATATTTATACAAATTTGTAATTCTTCTTTTAATTTTACAAATAATTTTAAATAATTACACGTAAATAATTACAAAAAAAAATAATCTTAATTTTAACAAATAATTCCAATTCTCATTTTTTTCTCTTCCTTTGTGATTTTTCTCGTTTCATCCATCTCCTATTAATATATCTTTCTATTTTCATGTTTTTAATAGTCATTTCAGGGGATTTTTTAGTTGTTCAGTTTACTTTTCTTTGTTTGATTATAATATCGAAAATTTTAGTTTTCTCAAGGCTATTTCTTTTTTTTTTTCTGAGTATGAGATATCAATTTTTTTTTAGCTCTGTTTGTTCTCTTAGGGGTTTTTTTGTTTTTTTACTATATAAATCCTTTTATTGTTCTTTTTAAATTACAGTGTTTTTTTCTTTTTTTTGTTAGAAAAACCAAGAATAACAAGACAACTCGGGCTTGTTGATGGAATAAGTGGAATGCTCCCACACGCCAAGCGCAGCTATGCCAGAAAAAGTGGTAAAATATGCGAAAAATAACGATCTCTAGGCGAGACTATCGGTGGCCCCCTTTTCTGACGATTGCTTAAAAGCAAGCTGATGGCGAAAAAAGTAAAACGAAAGTAAAAAAAAATATCAAACCGGCCAGAATTTTTCTGAAGTCAGCAGCAAACTCATTGGTCAAATACATCGGATTGATCAAACCATAACTGTCGTGTTCTGACTGCTCACAAATGTACCGTGGCCGTGGTTGTATTTGATATTCTCGCCGCTTTTCATCCATATTAATTCTAAACATCGAAGAGCTATTACCGACCAAGTAATGCACCGATAGTAACATCTGCGAGGGAAGCAAAAAATTTTTCAGAACCACAAAATCCGGTTAAATAATTGACACAAAATATTCCTCTTCAAACCACTGAAGAAATGACGTGCGGTTGCGAAATGTGGTCACTGACGAAAGCTGAAGAGCGAGCGCTGACTGTGACGGTGAGAGCGATGGAGCGAAGAATGTTTGGCGCGCCTCACGGACGAAAGCTGAAGAGCGAGCGCTGGCTGTGACGGAGAGAGCGATGGAGCGAAGGATGTTTGGCGCGCCTCGTCGTGACAAATATGAACAATCAGACTACCCAATCAAATGAGAGGCGTGCAGGATATCACTGCACCCACGCAAGAAAGTAACCCCGCCCACCCCGACCCTCAGAAGAAGCAGCTGACGTAACGCACCAAAACTAGTCAGCCGTCATTACAGGCCTTTACGCTACAGCCTAAGAAACTGCCGTCTCCTAAATTCTCACGCTATTTTTAGGCGATGCTTCTAAATACTTTTTTAAGCCACTCACACTCATTTTTATGCAAAAAGCACCCGTTTCTGGGTTGGGTGTGCCCGATAGGCAGTCATAGTTGTGTGTATTTTTCGGGTTTTTGGTTTTGAGGATTTTGGAGGGGGAAACGGAAAAGTTGAATTCAAATGCTATATCTTTCTGAAATTTCAGCTTTCTAGCTTTTCTGGTTTCCGAGCTAAAAATTTTGACAAAACGTGTTGATCCTTTGATTTGCGCCTATGATCAAACAACTATGCTTGAAGCAAAGAGCTCAATTTCTTATTTTTAACACACCAAACCCAAAAACACAACTTTTAACATAATTCAACGATATACGTATAAACACCAATGCCTACGCACTCCAGCGGATCTTGCATCTGTCAGCTCCCGAAGTTCGCACGTAATCTTCTTCTCCCCGCTCAATCCGCCTTTCGAACTCGCAGTCTTCTCCCAATCCGCCAATATCCTTGAGCCCCTTCTTTTAGGAATAAATGTTTTTCCTGCCCCAGACATCCTTGCTCCTTCTCCCTCCCCGTGACCTCCTTTTGCAGATTTTTTTATATACACACAAAAAAACGAAATGAAACATTCTAGAACAAAGTTTGTCTATCACTCTTCGTGTTTGACACGACAAAACGCACCTCTAATACATACACACACAGACACACACGCACACACACACGCGTACACATACACATACACACACATACACACATACACACACATACATACATACACACACATACATATACACACACAGAGGCAAGGTTTGTATCTGCGAAATTGTATTTGGGTTTGCGAATTGTATTTGACCCGGTGACATTCAGCCCCTAGCTTCCACGGTTTTCGAAATAGTAATTTTACCCGCCAAAACTTTCACGGGACCATGCGTACCACGCATGCCTGGAAGTTGGATTTGATAATTTTGTGTTCTACATGAGTTGGGAACATCCCCTTAAAATTTCAGCCTCCCAGCTTTCCTTGTTCCCAAGGTAGCGATTTTCCCGACAGGAACCCTTAAGGCCATACGCGGGAACCACGCACACCCGAGGGTTGAATTTGAAAACTTTGAGTTCTATGTGGACGAGGAGCATAACCTCAAAATTTCAGCCTTCTAGCTTTTCTGGTTCCCGAGTTAGCAATTTACTCCAAAAAAACTTTCATTGGCCTGCACATGGATACCACGCATATTCCTGTCTGCGTTCGAGCTCATTAATACCTACTTGGGTGGGGAACATCCCCTTAAAATTCCAATCCTCTAGTTTCTTAGGTTCCCAAGTTAGAAACTTTCCACCGGCCCGTAAGTGGGTACCACGTATACCCGGTGTCTGGGTTTGAGTTCACTGAGACATACGTGGACAGGGAATATCTTCCTAAAAACACAGTCTTCTAGCTTTTCAAATTCCCAAGTTAGCAACTTACACGAAAAAAGCTTTGGCGGGCCGGTGCGTGGGTTTGAGCTATTTGAGACTTACGTTGGCGGGGAACATCTCCTTGAAATTTCAGCTTTCTAGCTTTTCTGGTCCCCGAATTAGCGACTTACCGCAAAAAACTCTCACGGGTCCGTACGTGGGTAACACGCGGGTAAGGGCGCCCATTCTGGAGATTGGGGCCCGTACGTGCATATAGATCAAGTTCCCAAATTTTCAGCCCTGTAGCTTTTGTAGGTCTTGGGATGAAAAATCGTGACAGACGCAAACAGAGACACACAGACGCACACACGCACACAGACAGCCTCGCCTCAGTATGCGTTTTGAGCATTGCACAGATGCAAAAAACGCATAAAAAGGAGAAAATTCGTATCATATTTCAACACAACAAAATAGAAATAACAACAACAGTAACATACAACAAAAAAAAAAAACTTGTTCATTAAAAACAATTCGTAACAATTATCATCATCGTCAGATCAAAAATCAACGTCACTGTCATCATTTGAGGGTAATCCAGCGTAATAATGCCGATGTTCTGCTGTGCTTTTCACATACTTGAAATATGGACATACAACTTCTCAACAGTCGCCACTGCGACAAATTTATTAATCGGTAATACATTTTATATAATTGAAAAATTTGATAGACTTACTAACTCAAAAGGATGCAAAACTTTTTGGATGCAAACTTTCTTCTTGACCTGCTTCGACCAAATCAGATGGTCCAGTGCATCTTCGTAGTTAGCAACTTTTCACATAAACAATCAAGGGGTATTCAGCTTATCCGACCCCCCTCCTCCTTTCTTTTCCCCGCCCTTAACTCATTTCCTTGCCCCATTGTTACGCGTTTTCTCATATTTATGCAAATGCAAAAACGCATACTGACAAATGGTTGTTGGTGAGTTTAGTGACAAAAGTCTGTTCCGACAAGCAAAAAAAAAGCTAGCTCCAGGTATGTGACGCCACCTTACGATTAAATTCAGACAAAAAACCCTCTTTATTAGAAAGAAGAAATAACTAGGAGTTGACATACTTATAAGGAAATTTACACAGGCCAAGGAAGGATATAAGAGGCTAACAAGAACAGCGAGAATGAACAAGCTATCTGCAGCACTACACGATTTTGTGGAGAAACAAGACAGCTGTGGACATGATTTGCATCAAAAACCCAGACTGGAACCCACCAGGCGGGCCGGTGCGATTATACGTTTTTGCACTTTTCGTGTCGTAGCAAGATCGCAAAGAAAAAAAATATAAAACACATAAGTCCAGCAGCTGTGAGCATCAGATTTGCCTTTTGTAATCATGCGTTGTTGCACAGTTTTCCATAAACTAAGTGGAACTGTTTTTTCGGAATCAGGCAAACAGAAATCAAATTCAAACTCACTGTTTATTTCTTCATGATGTTAAGATGTCATGCAAAAACTGATAGCGCCAGACCGTACCACACGTGAGATGTGGGGGGATACAAAAACAGTTTTGACATACACTTGCCCAAACACGATAGTGGACCATGCAAACAAGCATTCTAGCTGGTTTGGTTGCCAGAATGAATCCTAAAGAATTCGGTCTTCCCTTTAAAAAACCGATTTGTTAAACATTCTCCAAAGAACCAAGCCCCCAACCCACCAAATTTTTATCTCTCATATTTCTATAAAAGCAACTTTAACATAAAAATCGATTTATATTCTGTGTGGCCGGCAAATTTCTTCAAAATCCGCAAAATCTAGATCACGCAAAAGTGTTTTAATCTCCTCGGGCTAGATCCGAAAAAAAATTTAATGATGTTCAAAAACTTATAAACAGTGGTTATTAACAAAAAGTCAGTTATAGGGAAGAAATCATCATCAGAATTGCTGGCAAGCTGATCACTAAACAATGCAGCATTACTGAAATAAACTAGAAAAGTTGACAGTTGCACAACTGAGAAACTAGAATGTGTGATCTAAGAAATCTAAGGGTCTTTTATTTATATCACTGGCACAGGCATAGTAAGAGTAAAAAATTTGTCTAAACGTCGCCCTCCCTTCATTGCGAAACAGTTTTTAAAATCCAAAATATTAGGCTTACTTACACTCATACTAATGATGATCAGGCGGCTGTCTTGGCATTTAATTCTGAACAGCAAAAGAGTCTGGTTGCTGCTGGAGGCTGGGGGGATCGAACCCCCGCCCTCTCGCATGCAAAGCGAGCGCTCTACCACTGAGCTAA